GAGTTAAGTTTGCCTGTGGTGCTGGCTACTATACAGGGCATCAAACAATGGCCGGGCAGGTGCCAGTCATGTTGTCCGGTCAAACATGATTTTGCCCGGACACCACCAGTTTTTGGCCGGTCAAATGCAACAGTCATAACTTTTTGCAATAGTGAACCCAGACTGCACAGTAAACCTTTTTTTTAACAAAAAACCAACTGAATCCTAGTCAGTTTGGAAACGAAATTACAAATTAAAAGTTTTACCATTCTTCATCACAGAAGCAGCCTCGCAGACATGGAATGGTTATGCAAGCCATTCGTTAACATCACATGAGGCAAAATAAAATATTGTTAAAATATTACATTTTGGCAATCCCCACATCGTGCATTTTGTACAAGTAAAACATGCAAAATATAATGAAAGCCAAAGGTTTCAATCGATCTCTTATTAATGTGAAGGAGGAAGCTAAGAAACAGTTAACTTACAGGTTAAAAATTCATATAAAATTATTGTCTTAAGTTTGGAAAATTTGGCAGCACTGTACGTATCAAATGCATGGCAGTTGGCATCTTAATAATATTGTTGTGCTCGCTGTCTTTCTTATTTACATGTAGAATACTGGGAAGACCAACATTGGGCAATTCCAGAAAATATCCATACCCAACCACGGACAGCTTCCATGTTTTAACCCCCCGTTGCCTTCGGAAATTCCAAAATGCGCTACCCCCCCATGCCCTCAGAATTCCATAGTCGTGAACCCCCCCTCCCCTTCAGAATTTCCGGTTTTTTTTGGAAGTACATTTTCGACTTGGCAACGCCTATAAGAACAAACGAACATGAATTTATGCCTCCTCAAGGCTGTGATCTAGCGGCGCCAGGTGACAAGCTTTACTCTTCAGTGACAAGAAAAACCTACGCCAGTTGCCAGGCCGTGCAAACTCCTTTTTAAGTCCGAATTTGGCTATAAAAATAAACACCACTTAAGGTAATTTTACTCCTCTTTGTTTTCTTGTGCTGTTTTGACGTTTACAAAGGAAAATAGCTCAAACAGACTGTTAAAATCTTTTGGCGGTCAAATATACCGTCGAGTCGTGTTGCGTCCTTTTATACGTCATGTAGTGCGCATTTAAAAAGCGTTCTAATCTGACAGGCGTTCCTTGGAAGTGAGGGACTGGTGCGAGTTTTTACTGTTTATCGGACGGTTTCGGACGGGAGTAACAAGAAATTTGCAAGGGGTATTAAAAGATACATTTTCAGTTTTTATTCACGTGACAAGAAATTCATCAAGGTAAATGTGAAACCAACGTTTTACTGTTCATTTCTATAAGTTATGAGCGTAAACACGTGTCTGATCTATCGATGCTTGTCTTCTGCTTCCGCGGTCATACGTTCGTGGTTTATTTACGAACTACAAAAGTCCACAACAATAGCGTTTTCCAGGAACTTACTCTACACTTTCTACTCCAGAAATCCCACCTGTGGAATTCCCCCATACCTTCGGATTTCAAATCGTAAATACCCCCCATGCCTTCAGAATTCCATAATCGTGAATCCCCCCTCCCCTTCGGAAATCCTTAAAGCCGTCCGTGGTATGGTATGGATATTTTCTGGAATCGCCCATTATTCTACTGATATTCTGTAAAATTTCCATACGGGTTCAGTGTCATTCCCAGATATTTATAAGATTTAACATTGTTTAGTTTATTTACTCCATACTTAAACGAGTAGTTATTTAAGGACTTGCCATGTGAGCGAGAAGTGATTGTTCCTTCATACAGACTTGACTCTTAACCTCATCCAGTTGTTGTAAGATAAGTTTTATTGACTCCTCTGTCGATGAAGTTTTAGTCCTGAGTGCCTTAAATTCGGACGATAGGTTTGAATTTAGATTTGCAATTTGTTTGGCCAATTTTTGTACCTCGTTACCGATTTCTAACTTCACTGCTTGGATGCTTTCTTCGCAAGAGAGTTTCACTTCTTTCACACCGTTATTATGGCCCATGAGGTGCAGGGGGGGATCTAGGGGGAGGGTGCAGGGGGTACACACCCCCCCTGAGATGACCTGTGGTTTTCTAATACAACTGGTATTCTTCAAAAGAAAAAAACTATTTGGTTTATTGGTGTTGAAGTAGAGCAAGAGACGAGTGCACCCCCTCCTAAAAAAAATCCTGGATCTGCCCCTGAGGTGGGCACCTTTTTTGGGGAGGACACTGAGGTGTTACAAATAAAAATGATTGTTTTTTCTTTTCTTAATCTTGGAGATGGTCACAATATTGTAAAGCCCACCAATCATATGCCCTCTTACAGTACATGTATGTCTTGGCTGGGCATGGGGGATACTTACATTGACTTGTGTATGACTTGCAGTACCATCAGCCAGGTAGCGCAACAGCGCCAGTTCTAAAGCAATAATAATTTATTATTATATGTAACTGGAAGAACTGACGTTCTTTGTCTTCTATTCATTGCCCTTGATTTCATTAAGGTTACTGCTACCAGTCAGTTCAAATTTCAAGATGTGTGGGTTTCAGATGTCAAGGATTCATGTACCAAGCTTTGGTAAGGCTTTTTTATATTATTCATTTGTTGTAATCAGAATTTCAGTACGACATGTTTATGAAAAAATCCCCCTTGGGGTGGGGGAGGAGACACTACAGAGAAGTACTGCCAAGGCCTTAAACCTTTTTCTATTAATTAATACAAAAACAGTTCATTCCTGTCTGCCCAACCCCGTGGGGATATACCTGTACATGTACACTAAGTATCATCCAGACAGTTGAGCTCCTTCTGCCATTATATTCCACGGATAATACTGTATTTATCCCAGGGGTATACTGACTGAAGGAATACTCATGATAAATAGCATTAATGCAAAAGATGTTAGCAAAGTGTGAGTCTAGGGGCACCTTCTTATTCAACCCCAAATTCTGGAAATTTTGGTTAGAAAGCAAATGGAACAGACCATCTTGGTTCAGTTTGGCCAGAATATTTAACAACACCTTTGAAGGTAGTCCACTGGTATGACTGAAATGACCCTTTCAATTTGACGTAATTGTTGTCCCTGCTCCTACTCAGCTGTATCCTGCTTACAAGTATCTACCCAAACACACAGTGGCTTGGGTTTGAGGTCTGTACAACTGGAATGTACTGTTCCATTAGGTGTGTGGAATTTCCAAAATTTCAAACAAGAATTTTTGTTGAATGGAATGCAGCAGAAAGCTAGATGTGGTTGGGGTTCAACTGTTGTGTGTTGGGTTGACAAGAAGTTTTAATAAAAATAATTTGAAAAATATACCATAGCATTATAATTTGGTTAAATGTAATTTAACTAAGTTAACCACCACAAGCTTAGCAGTCAAGCGGTTCACAAGCGTAGCGGTCAAGCGGTTCACAAATATAGCGGTCAAGCGGTTCACAAGCTTAGCAGTTAAGCGGTCCACAAGTTAAGCGGTCTAGCGATCCACAAGCTTAGCGGTCAAGCGGCCCACGAGCGTAGCGGGCATCCAGCGGTCAATCCCATAAGTGCAGGCTCACATGGTTTGTGGTAGCATTGTACACGGCTAAGATCTGCGAGTTCTTCATCGCGCGTTTGTGCAGTGGTCTGTGGAGCGGTTCATTTAGCGTCTTCCCCCCCTCCCATCCCTATTTTTTCTTCCTTCCACTGTTTGATCAGTGTGACGGGTGCCTGGAACGGGGGCTCATGGCTGGGTTGCGGGGATTTGCCAGCCATGGGGGCAGTTTTCTATCTAGGGGCTGGCTGGCCACAGTGGAAGCCCCTGGGTATCCCAGGCACCCACCTTCCACTTAAGCGAGGCAGTTGGTTAACTGTGTCTTTGTAGTACACAAGGTTGCACCCAAAGTACAACGTATCCAGGGCTGTCATTAAGAGGCGTGGGCTGGGGATTTCCCCTGGCTACCCTAAACATTACTTCCAGTTATTTTCATAGGAAAAATAGAACCAAAAGAAATCTCTAGCTGTTTGTTTCCCTGCCTCTTGTTGTTCGTATCCAGCAACTTGAAATCTTGGTGACAGCCCTGTTTATCACTACATTTTTTATCTTTATTATGTAAACAACAATGAAATACCAGGTGAGCTTTTCATGACTAACTTGTTATTTTCACATACACATGAAAAGATTTGCATTGTTATCATTACATAAGAAATCGCACCTTGTGTAGTGGTGCCTCTGACAGCAGTGCCTTTGTCAAAGTAATTTTGATGTAACTTCAAAATTGCCGACAATTTACCTAACTTGAATCTAAATATTATTGAATGTTGACATGCTCACTACTCAACCAGAAAACAAAAATACAAAGAAAAAGATGATGTATGAACAGAACATTGTTTTAAAATTTCTTCGTGAGGTTCGGAAATTAAAGAAGGGAAAAAATGTAGACAATATTCCACCAAAGGAGATGAACCTTAGTGAATTCATTATTGCTGCTAGGACGAAGAAAGGGGAACAATATGAGCCATCTTCTCTCAGAGGAATCTTATCAAGCGTTTACTGTTACATGTATCTTGCAAGGCGTGAATATGGGAAAAGGCTATTCATTGATCCTGAATTTATGAGATTGAGAGACACATTGAAAACAAAGCAAAAAGAACTAAAAAAAAAAGGCTCTCACTTGTGAAATATTTTTTTAGCACTCAAAAAGAAATTTTGTATACATAATATACTCTATATACATGTATCTTATACCTCGATCATGGCCTGTATTTTTTTGGGGGTTTTAATTTTTGTAATTTCTTTCCACTGTACATAAACAGTTGCAACCTTAGAGCACGTCCTGCAAAATGACTTCCACAACTTAGAAAGACAACTTACATGGAAATTTAATTTTGTAGTAGCTAAAAATTCAGGTTAATCCTGTATTCAACCTTCTTTGATATTGGATATTATCACGATAATATCACGTTAGAATCTACTAGAGTCTATTTAGATCGTTTTTTCCTCTTTCCTGAATGCAATGATTTTGGATTATCGCGATAAAACCTTCCAAATTGCATATTGACAAATCACCAACATTGATCAACATTAGCTGAACATTTAACAAGGCACATCTTTTCTACATATATCTGATAGTTGAATGATTAGAATGACTAAATCCAATTAGACATCTATGACAGTATAAGGGCAAAATATCACATAATATAAATTATCATTGGATAGAGTTAGTACGTTATATCATTATAGTCAATTAGACAAATATCTGATAAAAAATTTGATGCTTTTAGTTTGATAAAAAGTTTGATAATGTTCGATGTTAGACCTATTCTAGATCGATTATTAAAATCTGATAACTATCTGATAAAATAATGATATCTTTTTATTATCGCAGCTTTATGGAATTTCCCTTGTTTTTTCACCCTCATTTTTCGTAGGAGACAAAAAAGAAATTTCGGTTTAACCTGAGAACAGATTTTACCTACAATGCTTTCACATGTTGATTTGCCTATATTTGTGACTCAAGTTATAAGGGAATGGTTGAATGCAGTTGTTAATAAATAAATTCCCACTTGGGGAACCAGTTTGACCAATCCCAAAAAATAATTTGTGCCTGCAAAATACAAAAAATCACCTATCTGTAAAATTAAACTCTCACAAAAATAAAATGTGAAATGGTACTGACAACAACATTGCACCATTATTAAGTATACTTTCTTTCTTTGTTCCTATTGTAGTGTTCATGTCTGCAGTGTTAAAGGATTTTTAGGATTCCTGTGATGTCCAGGCTGGTGGAGGTAAGAAAAATTGATCATCTGTTAGTTATAGTGTTGGTCTAGTGAAGGTTGATTGTAAATTCTCGGTATTTACATCTTCATTCTCTAGTTGTAAGGGTTTGAGGTTTGAGAAGTTTGAGCTGTGGCTCTAAATTTTGGTGGAGGGATGTTAGTTATGTCAGACCCGAATGAGGGCCCTGTGTGTTGTCAATTGATGGATTTCCTTACACAGTAAACTATTTTTTTTTTCCTCTCCCCTCTCCCTGTTTAATTTTATATTTAAAGGGAGCATACTGCTGGGAGCAATAATTATTTGGTGGCCAAGCATTTCATTGAGTAGGGGACCCGGTGGAGGCATGTTGGGGTAGTAATAGTTCTTGATGATGCTTTTTGCTGCTCAAACCAAGATAGAGTTTAACTAAGCTTTTGTTATGTGGGCCTCATTGGCTTGTTTTGACCCTTCAAGCCCCAAGAGTGAACAACGTCAATTTTCTCCTAACTACATCTGTTCAATACATCAACAAGAGAGAAGGTTATGAGAATTAACAAAATGATCACTCAAAGGAAAAATGCTTAATTATATCTTTTGTAATCAAATTCTCTCTACTACTTCTTTAAGGAGGCGTGTGGAGGTCGGTCTGGATTTGCATTTTGTTGTTTAAGGGTTATTAAAATTATCTGCAATATTGAGTTGGTGCATTAAGCTTTGTAATCCCTCCCAATCTCAAACAAAAGAGAGTTTTAGCAACAATGGCAGCAAAAAATGTCACTACTAAAATAAATTTACCTTTTTAAACTTTGTTGAAAGTTTTCCAAGGCACTTACAATGTTAGAGGTGTATTAACTTCCTTGGAGTGAAATTCTTCTTCAACTAAACTTGGCATTAGGAATTTTTCACTTCAAAGTTGTGCAGTAATAGTAAAGAATGTACCATAAAGTGTGCTGCATGTGCAGAGTTTGTTTTTTTATGGTCATTAAATCTATTACTTTGCGACAATCCTGTGGCTGTTGCTGTCATCGTTGCCAAAGGTAGTTACAGTGTGTCCGGAAGTATAAAGCCAATCAGGCGTGAGAAAACTTAACCACAAGCAAGATCGTAAATTAGTTTGTGGTTTTGTGGCCAGTTCACGTGTCTTTAGTCTACTTGATGTTTGCTGTGATTGGTCATAACACAATAATCATTCCTGAGATATTTCAAGTGTTCACGGTTTTCACGGTTGCATTGTAACATTGTCCTCACCTCTATGTTGAGACAGTCTTAGTAACGTGCATCATCTTTAACGTTTTACCCTGCAAGTTACCTCTGTCACCCCTCCCTCCAAGTCATAGTGATATTCCCATGAGATTTTAAACATATTGTCCTCAAGTTTAAGTAGAAAGTAAAGTTGATTTGTAACAGTTTTGAACTGTTTACGTTTTCAATAAGATGTTACTCTACATGCATAATTTTATGTAAACTGCTAATTTTTGTTAGAGTGTGGCAACCACAGATACATCTTAAGTCATTTAGCCCTTGGGATGATTCCTGGCCTAAGTAATTAAGTATATAGTATGTACCCGAAGTTCAAACATGATATGTCTTGAGCCATTGTTACACAATGTGTTGGTTGTGCAGCAGTCAGAATGTAATGATTTCTATTGCAAAAGCGCTTAACTTGTTAGTATAAATAATCTATAGTTTTCTTGTCAGCCTTTTCAAATGGTATGGACTCTGAAAAGCAATGCAAGACATTGCTTGAGTTTAAGTTATTATGAGTCAGTTTAGGTTCGTATGAATTTACATTGCATTCAAAAGGCTTTTTATCAAATCCTTTGGATAATTTATGCTACTCTTCTTTTAGGATTTGTCATCCTTTCCCAGCACAGCCTCTACATCACAGGAAGACCATGAAAGCAATTCCGGATCCACTTCCTCCAGGAAATTGAGAGTTACTCTGTTAAGCAGTGAATGGAGATCAACAAAAGGAGGCTTGTCAACCATCAACCGAGAGCTGGCCATTCAGTTGGCAAAACATCCCAGCATGGAGGTCAGCGTTTATCTCCTTCAGTGTAGTGAAGAGGATAAACGAGTCGCTGCAAGTCACAATGTCCATCTCGTGGAAGCAGAAAAAATGTTAGGTTATGACCCAGTTGACTTGTTGTCCTTTCTACCAAAAGACCATGCTGTGGACTGTGTGATAGGACATGGCGCTGTTCTTGGTCGGCAAGTGCAGGGTATAAAACGACATCATCATTGTAAGTGGATTCAGGTTGTTCATACCTCTCCAGAAGAACTTGGAATGTACAAAGGATATGAAGAGCACATTTCCAGAGGCGAGGACAAACACCAGGTTGAGGTTGAACTCTGTAAATTGGCTGATCAAGTTGTAGCTGTTGGACCCAAGCTGGCTGATGCCTTTTCCGGTTATCTCCGTCCTTGTGGAAAAGATCAGGATGTTCTCAATCTAACCCCAGGCATTTTCTCTGAGTTTGCTGATGTTAGTCAAGCTACTGAAGAAAGAAACTCATTCAATGTTTTGGTCTTTGGACGTGGTGACAATGAAGATTTTCAGCTGAAGGGATATGACATTGCTGCCCAAGCCATTGCTGAGTTGAAAGACACGACCTACAAACTTGTGTTTGTTGGAGCAACACAGGGAGAAGAAGGGAAAGTAGCAAAAAAGTTAGTGGAGCAAGGCATTGATCCTAGTCAACTTAAAGTGCGTCGCTTTAATGAAAGTAGAAAGAAACTAGCTGATTTATTTTGCGAAGTAGATCTTGCTGTAATGCCATCACGAACTGAGGGCTTTGGTCTAACTGCCCTTGAGGCTTTATCTGCTGGTCTGCCTGTGCTGGTTAGTGGGAACTCTGGTTTTGCGGAAGCTTTAAAGAAAGTTCCTCATGGTTCAAGCTGTGTAGTAACGTCGGACGATCGAAGAGACTGGGCCAGTGCAATAAGAGCCATCCGTCACAAGGACAGGGAGATGAGACTTGGAGAGTTTAATGTTGTGCGTGGGGCATATGCAAAAAAGTACAGCTGGAAGGAACAGTGTGATAAACTTGTTGAAAGGATCAAAGCGATCTCTTCAGAAGGTCAGTTAAAATAAGTGCTATTGTATTGCGTCCTCTGTTGCATATATATTAAACTTAAAATGAAATGTATGCTAGCCCGCAAAGAAAGCCAGCTCTCCCATCGCTCTCTGCTACTGGCGATGTTCGCAGAAGAGAATGATTAATAATAATAAGACGCTGTGGGAGCGTATATTTAGGCGTCGATGTACTAGGCGTGTGTGAAGTCTGAAGTTTTGTATGTGTATTAGGGATGTGTGAGTAGTGCAGTAGCGCTGTATAATTTAGGGGTTGGTTGAGATGCGTGAAGTGGAAAGCGTGGAGTTATATTAGACGTGAATTGGTAAGATAATGGATGTAGTTTGTTAATCAGTGAAACTTGTTTCTCGTAGAATTTAATGTGGTTATGAAGGGATAGTGTAGTTACAGTGTGTTGAAATAAAGTGGTGGTTGTGAGAAGTCTTATCAATAGTCTTATCAAAAGTCTTATCAATGGTGGAAAACATACGTGGAGAGAACAAGGATAAGGCCAAAAGTTCATGTAATATAGAGAGGGGAGTATGAAGATGTTGAGGGGGAGGGGAGATGAAATTTTGCTTGTGTGCTCGGGGGCTTTGAAAAATCGGTGAGGTCAAGGGGAAAGGCGTAAAACCTGGCTATAGATTACATGAGCCGGGCTGGCTCACTTTGCAGAGATAATAATAATAAGAGGGATAATAGATAACAATAATAATAATAATAGTTTAGAATTTCTATTGCGCAGATTCCTTGACGAGATGATCAACTGCGCATTACAACAATACGTAGAATAAAAATAACTAAATGATAAATAAGAATTACCTCATGTGTTGTGTATAATTTTAAAAAACCTGACTAAGAATAAAAAGCCTTACTAAAAGGTAGGTCTTTAAAAGTTTTGCTAAAAAATAAATAAAAATTACATAGTTGTGTATAGGTAATAAGTAAACCTAACTAAGAATGAAAAACCTTACTAAAAAGATGCGTCTTTACAATTTTTTTAAATGAATGATGTCTCAAAGGCGGCTTTATTCGCCGACTAAATGTACATGTATACGTAATAGTTATGATTTATTGCATTTACAAAGTAAAAAGGTGCTGTGCACGCATTAAACTTGAAAGCGTTTAAATACATGCTCATTTAGAAGCAGAACTTATCACAAATAACTGCACCTACGTCTTGGCAGAAATAGCTGTATTATTTAGAACGATAACTAAACAAGAATTAACTCAGTCGGTAGAGCACTTGACTGTAGAGCGGGAGGTCGTGGGTATCACGGGGCCGGACCAATACTCAGGGTCTTAAAATAACTGAGAAATGAAGGTACTCCCTTTGCACTGCAAGCGGCTGGACCTTCGCGTGGCTTGAATGACCACGTAAAATAGCGTCCCGTGTTAATTAGGAGACGTAAAAATAGTGTCCCAATTAGTACTTTCGTGATAAATACATTGACACTCAAGTAAAGTGCTTTTTTTTGTTCAAGGTGGAGTTGTCTGAATCATGTTCAACGGTAATCTTGGGTTAACTATAAACAGAACATATAACTAACTCTGGTCTGGACTAATGGTTCCACATGTATCATTCTTTAACATTGTTTATACATGTAGTTAACTATATTTAGATAGTGGGTTGGCCTAATTGAAAATGGCTGAGAACTTGGTTTTGTTAAACACTGGCAAATCTCCATTCAAATAAACGGGTCAAGAGTTGTTTCTATTTTGTTGTAGGTCCTCATGCAGATGAGCAGAATTTATCTAAGACAGTCCCAGTGATCTGTCAAGGTGAAAAACCCTCTCCGGCTGCACAACGCCATCATAAAGGTACACTTTAATTTAGTTGAGCCGTAGAATAATGAACAGCTGTGTATATAGTTACTTTTACAAAAACTTTATGTTGGGGATTGGTTTAATTGCAGGTGCAGCGAAGAGACCCAGGTCTTCAAAAAAGGGAAAAGGGCCGCTATCTTTAAGTGCTGTCACAGCTCCAAAACAACCGAGACTGTTGAGATACGAAGGTAAAGTTTCTTTCTGGTTTATTTATGGTATTACACCACATAAGCTGCATAGATGACTAAATAAGATTGTGGTGGTGCTTTTTGTTGGAGGAACCTCTTTCGCGCTTAATCCCTCTCTCTGGCTACGTAGCACCTTAACTAAACTCATTCCCATTCTTCTAGCAGCTGTATTGCCTGAACAAAAGCGCTTCTAAACTAAAGCGCTTGTGTGCTCTTATTGGGCCTGCTGTGCAGCACGGCAGTGTCTTCATTGTCCCGCTTTTCAAGTCGGTTGGACTCTCAAGAAGCTAGAGTTGCTCTCGGCTACGCTTACTACAGCAAATCTTGCGACTCTCTGTGATACGATATGCTTAAGCTGAAGATACAACTAGAACGAGGCCACATTTTATTAGTGGAGTAGTAAAGCAGATAGTATTTTTTTGTCGTCATTCATGATCAAAAAGATCATTTGGAAAATAACTTTTTGAGCGCTAGCCTTTTGCCAGTCAGAGTTCGTCACAATGAATTTATACCAGTTTTAGTGTCTATCTGTCTGTTTGTTTGTTTGTTTTGTTTTTTCACATACATTACACATTCGGTTACACTTCAAAACACCACTTGATTGACACTTTAATTTTATGCTTGTGACTGAACGTCTACATTGCGAGAACAACAGTATAGCGAAATTCTAACAAACGGACATTTTTTCTTACATTCTCAATGTTCATTTGTATCAGGGCAAGCTCCCGTAGGCCGCCATTTAACCCTTTACTCTTGTAGTGGTCGCTTATGTGAACCATTCTCGTAAGCGCCCCGAGGCTGTCCGCTTACGATAGCTTCCACCGTGGTCTTTCAAAACATTTCTTCGTTTCCGATTGGCTCAAATCTCCCGGCTAATTCTTCATAAGCAGCTAGTGCTGTTGAAATTAAATCTGTAAGACGTTTGCGATGTCCGATAAAATGACGCTCAAAAAGCTCGGCAAAGAGACATCAGTGTTCAAGAAAAGGAAAAACATCGTTACCTGCTAGTGATATTTCGGCTGAAAAACTACCGAGACTGTTGAGAGATGCAGTCTTGTTTGCTGTCCTTTATTGGTAGAGTTACTGTATCAAACTGATTACTTCATTTGAAAATTAAAGCATTATGAGAGTGTGCACTGCGGGCATCTCTAGATGGTACCACAGTTATGTATTTTATTGTTTAATATGTGTGTAAGATTCTGCACTTGACCTTAGCTTGGCAACTTGTCCCTATGACGAGTGTTTTCCTTGTGACGGGTGTTCTCATAGCGACGAGTGTTGTCCTTGTCGTTTTGAAACTGCATAGCTGTAAAATTTTGTAGTGAAGGTTTCGCCCTGACCGTTTTAGAATTAAGCAAGGACCTTCCTTCATCCAGTTTCAGCAACTGCACAGTCCATACTGTTGAATCTCATTATTTACTTTTATGTAGGGAGCAACATCACTTTTAACTTTGTTTTACATTTTGTGGCGAAAGCTTAACCGTTCTGACTGGCTTGATGATGAGCTTGCGCATTTATGAGGCCGTGTCCTATATCACTGCCATTTTTTTAATTGGATGTTAAACAGCCAATTAAAAAGAGTGGATCTCAGTTCCACTTGTGCTTGAAGGAGATGAAGGCCTAAATTGTTCCATTTTTGTGTAGCCCTTTGTCTTTGAGGATAGTTTAGAATATCTGCTGTTTCCCGTGGCCAAAAGGTAATACTAAAGGGAGGCCCTCTTCCCTGTTTTTTATCCACATCTATTATCTAAACAGACAATGTTTTGAAAGAAGTCACTGATGTGTTTGCTAATAAGCATCAAAGGAGGTTTGAGTTTGGCACACTACTGAAATATCAGTGATGATATGTAGCAAAACTAACGAATAATACGTATTTCCAACTTTCTTTGTTTTTTTTTTCTTTTTAAATAGTGACATTGACATCTGCCATTCTCAAAAATTGCAAAAGAAAGTAGTCTCTTTGCCAAAAAACGCTAAAGAAATCAATTTGAAGTTAAAAAAAAAAAGAGAAATATCCATGTTCGTAGTGCATGCAGTCTCTGACTACCAAATTTCCCCCCTAAAGACTTGCCCCTCCGGCCCCGCTTTGTCCGTCTCCTCGTTAAATCGCACCCACCCGTAAAAATCCTGGCTACGGGCCTGCGTGTTATAATGTAATACAAAAATCCGGCTTTATCAACTAAGTACATAAGGTTAATAGTCAACCGTAAAGAGACTGGAAAGCTGACCGTCAAGCGAAAACAAGCCCCTTCAGTAAACCAGTGAATGATTAATGAGTGGTTAATTGACCATTCACTTATGATAGCAACAGTAGTGCAAAATCTTACGAATGAACGAGTTAATACGAAGATGTCAGAGGCATCTTCCCCTCCTCGCCCTCAGCCAGCAATTCGTGTCTCCCCAGTGAAGTGAAATCAAAGTAAAAACTGTCGAGAACTCGTAAATGAATTTTAAAAACAATATTTATGCGATAAAATTAAGTATATATTTTAAGTTGAAATGATCAGGTACCTATCCAAGTGAAAACACCCTTCGCATATTCACGAGTTCATGTTCTAAAAATAGCCACTCCGGGGGTTCAGCTTTTGTAATGTACCTACGTTATTTTTCGTTACTCGTTTTTAGTACTATACTGAAAATGCAGACTGTTTTTTGGCCTGTTTCTCGTTTGTCGTTCGTATGGTAAGATACATAGGCGCGCGAAACCGAGGTTTTCTACCTTCTTCCTCTCGCCTCTCCCTTGATTCAGCTTTCGCGTAACCTGAGATCAGCTATTTTCGCCGCCCTACTTCTCCCCAGTTTCCTCCCGTTTTATTTGCGTAATCGCGCTTTCTCAATTTCGCGGACCCGTCTATCTCGCGACATTAGGCAATGTAGGGTTATCGTCATCATCAACAACATTGGGAGGACGAGTAGACGGGCCAGAACTAAAAAACAGCATTTGGTGGAATATGCTATATGACTTGCAATTAAATACTCATTTTCAATTAGTAATTTGCCGCGGAAAAGTAAGGGAATTCAATATGTAGCAAACCCTAGTATATTTTTAGTTGCAAGTACTATGTACTTCGCCCAGGGAAAACATAGAACGTGTGAAGCACGCGAGTGCACGCTCAGATCGCATGACACAACCATAACGTCTATTTTTGTTGTAAATTGTTGTTTCTTGGAAGACGACTATATTTGTTTGATACAGAACCATAATTTTGTCATTTACAAGTAAATTCTTTCTCTGACTTATTACAAATAAGGATGCGTATTAAAATTAGAAATGAGACTTGCAAGTTGCATTCCCTTCTTGAAACTGTATTGTGAATTGTGTGGATATTCTGTGCAATTATTCCACCCTTTTCGTCCTTCCCCCACACTTGCCTTACCCCTGCACCCATTTACTTTTCTACCCTCCCCCCTCCTTACTTTACTCTTCTGCCTCCCTCCCCCCCCCCGTTTGTCCTTATGAGAAATTTTCTTCGAGTCAATACTAACTTACCGTGTTATTCGAGGGAGGCAACTATTTCGAATATTGCTCACTGGAAGTCGTGCCCTAAATACTTTGGGTTTTTTTTTATCCCATTAAATAATAAAAAAATGATCACATTAAATAAACTTGGGCTTTTGAAGTGTTCTAAATTGGTGGAAAATTTGTGACATTTGAAGCCCCATTTAATTACCTTCCTTGTTTTCAAAGTCCTTGAAACTTGGAGGAGACGTACATTGATGCTTTATCTCGGGATTGTCAAGTTTTTTTGAAAAATTTATCGAGCGGTTTTTAAATAGCCGTGAAATTTGTAGGCGTGGACCAAATTACATTCACAAATGGTAAAGAAAGCAGCCGAACGTAGGCTAATCAAATTCCTCTTTCTCGCAATCGGCCTAAGCAATCCCCCTCTCTTTTCGTGCAAAGTTTCAGATGGAATCAAACCACTATGAGATGAAACTGCTTTTCCAGACTTCATCATTTTCTTTAGATATTAGCTAATTATGTCGATAGCATGTTTATTCACTGTTTTTATGACCCTTAAACTTTGTTTCAAAACCTTTCCAAAACGCTCTCATAGAATTTCTTCAAACTTTGCCATAACCGAGGCAACTAAGAGAGGTACAAACTCCCTTAAGCGATTTCTGAAAAAAAATCCCAGTACCGAGAAATACAAAGGCAAGTAAAAAATGTAATGGCGTCATTATGTTGCCATGGTAACCATGTCAATAAAACATGGATCATAACGAATTTTCACATTTATTTAGTGTAGCTGTGGTAACCTTTTTGCATTATCTTTGTTAATGCCGACGTGGTAAACGCTCAAAGTGGGGAAGTATACTCCCTAAAAAATCCAGTCGAGCCATCTTAACTGTAGGCTCTTAGCAAATGAGAAGACAGATAGTGTGTACAATGTACATGTATAGTGAAACAATGTAATTCAAATAATTGGTCTTCGTATTGTGTACTGTTGGCATTAGGAAATTGTGGTAAGGATGTTCACTCAACTACAGTGACAACAGTGATGAAAACCTGTCCATAACAAATTTTCTTTTCCCTTTTTGAACTCAGAATGAGATCCCTAACATTTCAACTCCGCCACATTTGACAGATTAAGAGAGTTGGAAAAAGTAGCTATAACTTTGAATGAACGCAAACTTAATCTCTCAGTTTCACTTTTCTCGTAACGACCTTACTGTCGTTAACTTTTGAATGTGGTTACTTCAGTTCCCCACTGTAGTAACAGTCCAATAGTAATAGTATGTCTTAGCAGAAACAGTAAGAATCATCGTAAATTTTGCCATATTTGTAAGCCTGATAGTCTTGCAAAATGTTCCATAAAAAGTTCAGAAAATTTTCAAATCTGAGTTAAAAATTGGAGCCGTTCCAGGGCATTGGTTGCTTGTTGTTGCATCAAAAGTTCATTTTCAGAAAACAGTGACTGCGTTTATTTCTACGAAGTCAAACTAGGCCGACCGCTATTTAAGACAGTTGATTCCTTGTAATTTTTTATATTTTATTACTTGTATAGTGCAGAATATGATCTAATGCCCTTTACAGTGAAGCTAAACTGAATGAAATAATTATACAAAACCAACTGTATGCATTCTTAACATTGTTTATAGAAAGCGATGTTTAGATAGAAGGACTAGCCGAATTAAAAATAGCTTACAACTCGTTTTCAGAGTTAAACGTTGGCTATCTCTGTTCTTTGTACCGTCCCTGATGCTTTGAAGCAAAGAATAATTGTTACTACTCTTTTTGTAGGTCCCAATATAGATGAGCAGCATTTATCCAAAAAAGCCTCTGTGATCTGTCAAGTTGAAGAACCCTTCTCTTCTGAGAAACGTCTTTATAAAGGTACACTTGAATGGTATAAACATGAGCAATATGTCCACAAAAGCAATTCGTTGTAACAGTAGTTTAACAAGGGCTTATTGAGTATTCCTTGCCGAAAAGTTACAGTAACAAGGAATGGTCGAAGACACTGAAAAAGACTAGTTTAAAAGGAGTCAAAATTCGTTGTCATTGTCACAGATTACCTTCGCCAGTTGTCCATAAACAAGATTCGTGCCAGATTTTATAAGAGAGGTGTTCAAAATATTTCTTAACACCTTCACAGGCGAACTTTGTCCGTTGAGTTTCAAGTAACTTCTATTCCTGCCTTGTAAAATGGCTGTGTTCGGCAGTCTAGTCTATGTGTTTAATTTTTCTAATTACTAGCCTAAAGGTGGATTTGCCCTGTCACTTAATTTTTACACGACAATGGAATGCAGTAATTAATAACGGATATACTTACGTGCCCCACGAAACCTCAAAATCCCTAAAATTACCACTGTCGAGAGGCCTTAGAAATGATTTGGTATTGCTAGGCTGTCTTTCTTCCAATTATTTCCTTTGTTTGTAGCTGTTACCGGGATTAATGGTTAGTGTATATAGCGTTACGATACTTTTTTATTGTGGAAAATGGTCTTTCAGTTGATTAGTCAAATATCTCTCGGCACAGTTATTTAGACATAAGCTTAAAGGGGGTACGTCGTGCTTTTTGCTATCTTTTCAAAACGCTAAAACGTGTCTTCGAGTCGGTTGAATGCCCATGCTTCCTGTCGTCTGTTACTACGGATGGCAAGGATGGACATGCGGATTGAAACTGAAAGATATTGGGCCAACTTGTTCAAGATTTAATGCTATGACTTAAAAAATCACCAATAATAATATTATGGTTAGTGTTCTTTAATGAAATTAGTTTGATATGTTTTTCATGAGACCACAGGAGCATTTTATGTCGGTAATGACTCATTAAATTGCAGGCGAAGCAAAGACAGCAAAGATATCCAGGTCTTCGAGAAAAGGCAAAAGGCCTGTCCCAGCTCCAAAACAACCGAAACTGTTGAAAGAGGAAGGTAAAGTTCGTTTCTGGGTTATTTAGAGTAAGGGTTGGTATGGCATTACATGTGTATGAGAGAGTTTAGGATGGTCTTGTGTCATCGGTCTCGTGTTTCTAAAAAGCGGCTTCAAAAGCTGCATAGCTTACGAAATAAGAGTGTGACAGTACTTCCCGCCCGCTCAACTTGGCTCATCCCCATTATTCTCGCAGTCCTATCGCCTAAACAAATGCACTCCTGAAATATAGCGCTTGTGTGGGTTACTTTCCTTTGCTGCACAGGGCAGTGGCTTTATTATTTGGGTCCCCTTTTCTAGTGGGACATCGTGAAGCTATAGATGGTTTTCATAGTGACGTCATCAAATTGTAAAGTCAAAATAGCGAGGTTTTACGCATTCTTATTTACACTAGGTTGAAGATAAACAAAAGGTAAATCTTTGTATAAGTTCCCATTCCCGTAGCATGTTTCATTTGGAAAATACAGCAATTTGAACTTCCGAGTTTTCACAGTGCGTGAAAAATAGGAATGCTGTCTCGTTGAAAAAAGTCTCCCCTTTTGATTTTCAGCAGTATAACCATTTCAAGTATTAGAAGATATGTCTTTGCGCTCGTATGCTAGTTCTCGAGTGAAAAGAAAGAGCTTTTATAGAAAAAGTGAACTCCAGATGTTTCTGTTGATTTCCGGCGGCTATATTGGTACACCAAAACGGTACACCAATGTGGCGTCTCCATACAAAGCTCTACAAAGGTGCATGCGTGAAACGTTTCGGCAAATAACTCAGAAACTGTGGGCCACAAAGACCTGAGACTTGGACAAATTGTTTAAAAATTAATCTTTTATAACATTTCATTTTCTTGTCTTCTTGCACTAGACGGTTTCCAATTTTTTTTTTTTTTGCGTGACAGTGAAAACGATCTATAGTTTCGTGGACTCGGTTGCACTTAGAGAGAATCTTGAGATTCTCATGTCTGACACACTCTCCAAACTTTCAGCGTGCTTCGTAATACCATATAAGGTACAAGTAGAACGAGGCCAAATTTAGGCCGAGACCCTGATTATGCTTTCATCACGCTACTTTCAGTATAAGAAACTAACTATTTAGCGGTAGCCTCTTGTCAGTCAGATCGGCCTCCTACGCAGACCTTTTTAGGGGTTCGTGACGCCCTAGGAAAGTCTGCGTGGGAGGCTAGACTGCTGAAAATCGAACCACATTCAGTGTACTCCTTATCAGGCGATAACCGGTAAAATTTACCGCCTGAAGCAACACTTCTTTTGCGTGCAACCGCTTGAAAGTTTACAAAATGTACGTAAAAAAATACGCAAGTTGTGATACGATCCAGTTCTCACAAGGAAATGAAATGAATAAATGGAAAAGAACTTAAGTATACACAGCTTTACTTTTTATGGGCCATGCATTTTGGAAAGAGAATATTGAAGGCAGAGTAAAATTATTGAATTCAAACGTTTTTAATTGCTGTCTATGGATAATAACGGCCGATTTGCGTAAAATAGGTCTTAAAATGAGAGAATGACTTTTCAGAGAACTTAGCTCCTAAATTTCCAAGCGAGGGCGGGCCATGTCCCTCACTCCACTACGGGCCTACCCACCCCTCCCCCACCCCCCAAGCAAGTGCACCTCTGGCGCATATTTTTTGCCTTACCGGCCATGAATTGTCCCTTACCTGCTGAGCTAAAATTTAGGGAGAACACTGACATTCCTTACCCTTTGTATCTGAGGTGTAATGAACAAACCAATCATTTGTCAGAAACTTAAGAGTGATCTCAGTTCTGTTTTGGAAGGCAAATAATTTGTACATTATTTTTTAAAGAAATGAACATTAAAAGTAAAATGTTTTTACAGAGAGTGTAAGGCACTTAGTTTTCATAAAAATGTAAGCGTTGATAGCATTTTCTTTTTCGCCAAATGTTACCATTGTCTCTGTGAAGCTTATTCTGTCACGGGAGGTATTTTAATTTATGTCATCGAAATCATTTACTTGTATAGACAGAAACATACTTATCTGTAAGTAAAATAAAGGAGAATAAACGGCCTTTCTGCTTACTAAGGAGAGAAAAGCATGTCACAGTGAGATTAATCCGTTTGGAATTTCAAGTCTTTACGTTTGCGTTTATTGACAAATATTCCCTCACCTTTTTGTTTCCAGCAGGTTGGGACAACTCGGTTGTTGTTGAACCGCTCAAAGCTGAATACAAAAGGCGCTGTCTGTTAAGACCACTTCTTTGGGATAGCACTATCGAGTTACCCCTGCAGAACGTTTACACGCGACTGAAAATCATTTCAAGAAGAAAGTTGGCCACCCAGATGGAAGCCAATATGGCGAATATGTCCCACCTCATAGCCCCGGAGGGACAAAATCCAGACTTAGTGGGTGAAAATGACGAGGTGAACGTGACTGAAATCTTCAAGACCCTTGAAAAAGGTAAGGATGTCATGACGCTTGTCGAAGGAAGTCCAGGAATCGGTAAAACTACGTTTTGCCTTAAACTTGCTTATGACTCTACACATGGAAAAATCCCAACAGAGTGTTCCTTTCCCAAGTTTGAAGTTGTGTTGCTCCTGAAATGTCGAGACATTGATGGAAATATAATTGATACCATAAGGGAGCAACTTCTGCCCAGAGATGTTAAGAAGAAGATTGTAGAGAAATTTTTGCACTTCTTGAAGGATATTCATAACCAGGAGAGAATTTTGATCATTTTGGATGGTTTGGATGAGCTGCCTGAAAAATCACGGCACCATGTCGATGAGCTGCTTTACAGAAGAATTTTCCCATTTTGCTATGTCTTGGCTACGTCACGACAAGAAAGAGGAATTGAAGTGCGAAAAAAATTTCAATTTGACATTCATTTAGAGATTAAAGGGTACACGGAAAGTGATGCTATTGTGTACGTAAGAAGACACTTCAAAACCATTGGTCAGTCACCAAAGGGGGAGAGGCTCATTGAAGAAATGCAACAGAACACCTTCTTGTATGCACTCCGAAATAACCCGTTAAATTTACTTCTCCTTTGTGTTGTTTATGAGGACTACAAGGGAAAATTGCCGACTTCCCGGACGGAACTTTACCAAGTCATTGTTCAATGTCTTTTGAGACGACACTGCGCCAAACGCAACTTGCCGGCCCCTGAAGATGACAGTGCCCTAGAGAAAAAGTTTGAAAAGGAAATTCTTGCACTTGGAGAGCTAGCTTGGTTGTGCCTGCTAAGTGATCGTTATGGTTTCCGTGAAAATGAATTGGTTGAGTTTGAAAGGAAATACCCGGGATTGGTAGCTCGTGAGCTAGGCCTTCTTTACAAGGAAGAAAGTCTAAAGAGATTAAAGCCTCAACATGAGTACTGCTTTCTTCACAAGACCTTCCAAGAGTACGTGGCTGCCGCGTATATCGCAGAGAAGTTAGTAAATCGGCAGTTTAATGTATTTGAGCACATAAGCTCTTTTGACTTGGTAACGAAATATCCACAAGTGTTTATTTTTGTTTCTGGGATGCTGGGCGAGAAAGCAACTGTCCTTTTCACCCAGATTGGCGAGGAGTTAAAGAAAAATGACTGGGACTGGATCAGTCACAAGGATTGCAATGAGGAGGACGCTACTTTCTTTATTGAAAGCTTTAATGAGAGTGGACATCCTGAACAAACGGCAGCTTCTCTATTTAAAATTATACCTTTTCCAAAGGTCATAACCGTTGAGGCAGATACAGATTGCAATACTTCTTTTGCGGGCTTTTTAAGTTCTTGTAAGAGCTTTTCAAATCTACAGACACCGGTTGAACTCCATGCTGTTAATTGTTCTTTTAAGGGAGGAGTGAATGGCGTATTGAATTATATAGAATCCTGTCCGCAGTTGACAATCGTAAGTGTTGTTTATGATGAGGAATATTGGATGTCATTTTATAGAGATCGTCTTTGCAAATGGTTTTCTGCGACCAAAAATCTATCAGAGTTTACTCTTAAAGGCAGATATTATTTCAACCCTGCGGAGGGCGACCTGCTGGTTCAAATTGGAGATGGGTTGGCTTCATGTCGAACTTTGACAAAAGCGACGTTTTCTTTGTCTGGATATGCTTATAGCGAGGGTTTTTTCAACGCGCTTGAAACTGGATTGGCACCGCTGACGTCTGTTGGTCTCGAGGTACTTGGCTCAATGAAGTACACTACGACACGAGCCTTACAAAATTTTTTGTCAAATAAATCCTTGAATTCTGTTTCTCTCTGTATTGTTGGAGGCGTGCAGGATTTGTTAGTCGCTGCTGTCAGTGAAGCACTTGCAAGACAAACAGTTTTAAAATCTCTTGATCTTCATTTTGGTGGACCGCTGAGTTCCTCTAGTGCCAGTTTCCTGGAAAAAGGGCTTATGGAAAATAGTTCTTTGAATTATATAAGACTGTGTGTCCACAGTGAGCTCCCTGGTAACTGGCATTCTGTAGTGGAAAATCTTCGCTTGGCGAAAAAGTCCCCCGTTTGCTGTTATATTTATCCAAACACCTTTAACAGCGTTGTAAATAATTATTTCCATCCTGTTCTGGTTAGGAGAGGGTTAAATGTAAAGCAACACTTAACTGTTAACGTCTGGGGTGAGATGAAATGCGAAGCGGCAGAAGCCCTTTCTGAAGTCTTGGCACCTTCCTCCATTACTGTTCTCACTTTAAACGTGCGTGGAAATTTGACAAGTGAAGTTTCTAATTCCATAGCAAGATGTCTGGAAGAAAACAAGACACTATCTTCCCTGTCCATCAATTTATGGGGCAATTTGACAACAGAGAGAGGTATTGTTCCTTCCAGCCTATCAAAAAACAGTCGCGTTCAGTTAAATGTACATGACGTGCGTATGGGTCCAGATGAGTCAACAAACGATGTTCTTGTTATCACTACCGATAATTCTGCAGCACTGAGAGCTTTTTTCATCAAAGTCAAGGATAGAAGAAAAGAAAAAGTCAGTCTTACAATCAATAACGATAGTTATTTTACCAAGGCGTGGACACGTTGCCTAGGTGATGCTTTGGCAGAAAACACATCACTTACCACGCTTGATCTTACAGTCAACAGCTGCTTCCTGGATGCAGATTTGGGAGAAGACCTCGGGAATAGTTTATTGCAAAGCACTTCTTTAACATCTCTTAGTCTCACATTCAACTTCAGTAACATGAAAGAAGGATGGGAATGCAAACTGGGTGAGTGTTTGATCAAAATGGCATCTTTAACTACACTCGCCCTTGAACTAAACGGCGACGGTAAATGGAATCAGGAGGATTGTTCAATTAAACTTAGTAACGTCCTAGCGGCAATCAAATCATTATCTTCCCTTTCTGTTTCAATCCATAGTGATAGCATGCATTCATTTTGGAACAAGGTTGTGGGTGATTGTTTAAGAGAGTGCACGTCACTTACAAAACTCAGGCTCACATTCAACATGGATGATTACTCTGAGAGCTATTTCTGTGGCCTTACTGACGGCTTGGCAATAACTACCTCATTAAAAACATTTAGTGTGGCAGTGCTTGCTCCGTATCATAATGCGGATTTATCAAGAATCCTTGACTATCTCACTGACGTTCTTTCATTAAACTCGTCAGTGAACACACTGACAGTGACTATGACAGTAATTGAGACAGGCTCTGATTTGTGCGCTGATCGGCGGTTTTCTTCCATCGAATTGCCAGTGAATACGTTGATAACTACGTTAAATCTCACGATAAATGAGTACGGTGAAGGAACATTGAATATATCAGGGGTTTTAGACGTCTCTGGAGTGTTCCAATTTTTGGCAAAATACACATCAGTAACCACATTCAACCTGACACTCAACAGTAGCAAAGAAGTGAGTGATGACTGGTTACCAGGCCTTTGCGACGCTTTGAAGAAAAACACCTCATTGACATCACTGAGATTGAAAGTAAATAGCCATTGTTCGAAAGGTAACGGCCGATTATATGACTTTAGTAAACTTTTGATAGAAAGCCAAACAATATCCTTACTTGAACTTGAGGTAAGTTTCTATGGAAAGGACAGTGGGTGCCAAAAGCTTTCAATTCAGTAGGAAAATATAGCTAAGATTTGTGTGCTTCTCGCAGGAAGAGATGTCAGTATCAAGTGAAATGTAATCACAGTTGTAATGTGGCTTTAAAGAGGCTATGTCAGGTTATTACTTATCTTTTCATAAAGCGAACACTTTTGTCTTTTCAATTGAATTCCAAAAATAAGGGTCCTGGCCCTGGTTGTTCAAAAGTTGGATAGCACTATCCACCGGATAAATCACTATCCAGCGGATAGCGTAATTGATTTCCGTAATACTTACCCGCTGGATAGTGATTTATCCGGTGGATAGTGCTATCCAACGTTTGAACAGCCGGGGCCAGTTTTCTTATTTAAGATTATATTAAGACATTAAAACTGTTTCCTGCCGTCAATGGCAACGGATGGCAGGGATGGACATGGATTGAAAGTTGAAAAAGTTGGGCCAACTTTTTCAAGTTTTATGCTATGCCTGCAAAAATCAGACCCCGCAAAAATCTCCCCCAAAAAATATGGCTCTCTGATGAAATTTGTTTGGTATCTTTTTCATAACTCTACAAGTTTTGGCAATTTTTGTATGGGTTTTAAAATGCACTAAGTAATGACTTCAGTACAAAATTGACCTAAAACAGCAATATCTTTTTTCTTTTCGTGAATCTTGAAGTAGCCCTGACAAACGATCCTTAAAATTGAATGAAGATTCTAATTTTAAAAGCCGAATGATCAATCCGGAAATTTTTCCAGTTAAACCCCTAGAAGTTGATAGTAACGTAGGCTATTTTTTCCTGTGGAAGCCCAGCCTGAAGTCCGTTATGTTCACACTACTCTGTAGAGCGTTAAGGTTACCAGATACCTTCAGGTGTGTCACACGTGCAAGTACTGTAGGCTATTTGTTCTTGTGGAAGCTTAGCCTGAAGTCCGTTATGTTCACACTACTCTGTATAGCGTTAAGGTTACCAGATACCTTCAGGTGTGTCTCACGTGCAAGTAATGTAGGCTATTTTTTCCTGTTGAAGCCCAGCCTGAAGTCCGTTATGTTCACACTACTCTGTATAGCGTTAAGGTTACCAGATACCTTCAGGTGTGTCTCACGTGCAAGTAATGTAGGCTATTTTTTCCTGTTGAAGCCCAGCCTGAAGTCCGTTATGTTCACACTACTCTGTACAGCGTTAAGGTTGCCAGATACCTTCAGGGGTGTCACACGTGCAAGTAATGTAGGCTATTTTTTCTTGTGGAAGTCCAGGCTGAAGTCCGTTATGTTCACACTACTCTGTATAGCGTTAAGGTTACCAGATACCTTCAGGTGTGCCTCACGTGCAAGTAATGTAGGCTATTTTTTCCTGTGGAAGCTCAGCCTGAAGTCCGTTATGTTCACACTACTCTGTATAGCGTTAAGGTTGCCAGATACCTTCAGGTGTGTCTCACGTGCAAGTAATGTAGGCTATTTTTTCCTGTTGAAGCTCAGCCTGAAGTCCGTTATGTTCACACTACTCTGTATAGCGTTAAGGTTGCCAGATACCTTCAGGGGTGTCACACGTGCAAGCAATGTAGGCTATTTTTTCTTGTGGAAGTCCAGGCTGAAGTCCGTTATGTTCACACTACTCTGTATAACGTTAAGGTTACCAGATACTTTCAGGTGTGTCTCACGTGCAAGTAATGTAGGCTATTTTTTCCTGTTGAAGCTCAGCCTGAAGTCCGTTATGTTCACACTACTCTGTGTAGCGTTAAGGTTACCAGATACTTTCAGGTGTGTCACACGTGCAAGTAATGTAGGCTATTTTTTCTTGTGAAAGTCCAGGCTGAAGTCCGTTATGTTCACACAACTCTGTATAGCGTTAAGGTTACCAGATACCTTCAGGGGTGTCTCATTTACAGTCGAAAATGGCAAAACCTCGAAACATATCTAGCGCTTTGACTTCCGAAAAAAAAAGAAAGTGAGAAACAAATCGCTTTAAGTTTTTAAAACTTTCGAAAGCTGATTCCGGCGTACGCATTAAAAATCGTTTAAGAAAACCGCCATAGCAAGTTTTATACAGCATAGTTTGAACATAACTTGGTTTGAAAATTGCACTTTGTTGTTCAGTCTCGTAAAGTCTTCATGGTCAATTCAACTTACCTGGTTGAACGATGTAACACAATCCCATTCCTCGTGAATCTAGCTTTTTTAGGGCCATTTATATGCAGAAAAGTTGTCCCGGGTAGAAGTGTCAATCCGCCGCCTACCCGAGCTACCCTGGGTGAGCCACCTTTCCTTACGTTCCCTTAACCCTTTAAGCCCTAAGAGTGGTTAGCATCAAATTTTCCCTTGTGATATCAATGCTTTGTAAAACAGAGTGGTGATGAGAATTACGGACATGATCACACAAAATGAATTTGCTCTATATTTTATCAACTTCTCCCCACTACTTCTCCAGGAAATGAATAGGGACAACAAATGAGAATTCAAACTTTGATCTTATGGTTTAAAGGGTTAAAAAAGGTGGCGAACCGTGTAAATGTGAAAAAAAGTTTGCTTGGCTAGAAGGATGACCCGCCTAGCCGGTTCACCCTTTTGTGAAGGTACAGGGTCACCCTCCTAGCTGATCCAACGTTTCTCCATACAAACACTTTGACTGGCCCAGCTGGGTCGACTTGGTCAAGGCGAGACAACCAGAGCGTGCGCGAGCACTGTTGGCTCGGGCAAAGGGGTCAACTATTTTTTCCCTTGACTCAGCTGGAGGGTGATCCTCTTTTTCGGGACAGCTTTTCTCCATATCAACGGGAGCCAAAGGGATGAGATAAAACTACAGCGTAGTGCTTGATTTGAGAGCATCAAGCGGCTGGCACTCGTCAGTGCTCTGAAGGAGTATTTCTGTGTACATATTTTGAATTTCATTGTTTTGGGTCTCACACAGAACAGGCTGGATTACCTCAGTCGGTAGAGCGCATGACTGCAGAGCGGGGGGTCGCGGGTTCGTTTTCAGGAGCTGGACCAATTCAGGGTCTTTTAAAAATAACTGAAAAATGAAGGTAATCTCTTCGTAGTTCAAGCGGCTGAACCTTCGCTTGGCTCCGATGACCACGTAAAATGGCGGTCCCGTCTCCAGTAAGAGACGTAAAAATAGTGTCCACAATTAGTACTTTCGTCGTAAATACATTTTCACACCATCTGGTCCAGTGAGGCCAAGGTTTACAGCACGAGTTAATAGTGGTTTTAGAGTTTGATAAATATTGTAACTGATGATTGTGACTTGTACATCATCTGGTCCAGTGAGACCAAGGTTAATACAACATCAGTTACTAGTAGTTTTAGATTTTGATAAATATTGTAACTGATGATTGTGACTTGCACACCATCTGGTCCAGTGAGACCAAGGTTAGTAGAACATGAGTTACTAGTAGTTTTTGAGTTTGATAAATATTGTAACTGATGATAGTGGCTTGTACGCCATAAGGTCCAGTGTGAACAAGGTTAATTCCACCTCATTAAGTGCTGGTAGTTTTTGAATTTGATAAATATTGCAACTTATGATTGTGACTTGTACGCCGTCTGGTCTAGTGAGGCCAAGCTTAAAAACAGCATGAGTTGCTTGTAGTTTTAGCGGTTGTCAAATATTGTAACTGATGATTGGTATTTTATTCTTATATTTCAATGGAGTTTGTATGATAGTGACAAATATACAGAAAAGAAATTATGATTTAGGGTATATTAAAATATGTGAACTGTATTTCACTCTGATTTAGTAAAGTTAGCGTTAGGCCAAGAGCACGGATTCTTTTGTAAATCGACTGTATCGTCATTTGTGAATGCAATGAACATTTAGAAACAAACAAGTGAAAGCAGTGCAAAATACCTTTAGCAACAAATTCGCCAAGTTTGTTTATTTAGAATGATGTTATTTAGTTTCATTTTTAACTGAACAGAATAAAGCTTTGCAAAGTAAAAATGCCTAGTATAAAGTTGTTTTTAGTAATCCAGATTATATTCGTATTCTAGGGATCGGTCAGGAACTAGTTTGTAGTCGAGGAACATTCGTCAGCGTGGGGGGGGGGGGGGGGGGAGATTCTCCTCTCCATCTCCTGTATGAGCCCCGATTTCTTGCTGGTTCCAGACCATCAAAGCTCATCAAAGAGAATAGGGAAGTGGTGTATTTGCCGTGTGAGTTTTATGGTGGCTACATGTGGGTCGTTGTACATTTAATTTTTCGTTAACATACTGAAGTGCCTTTAAAATATTCACAAACAAATGCTCGAGAAAGTCCTGTTAAGAGCACAGTTATTATTCAAGGGTGAAGGGAGGAAAGAGGGGATACAATGTAGAACAAGAACCGCGCGCTTCT